TTATTCTTATATGTGCAGATGTTGATCTTCATGGTACTTGGTTCCTTGCTATTCAGACTGGTTCTAGACTTTTGATCTTGTTATGTTCAGCCTGTTGCACAATATTTATTCAGAAGATTGTACAATATTTATTCAAAGATTATACATCAGTTACTCAAATGATTATACAAATGTTATCTGTTGATATACAAAACTTTTGAACCTATGGGTTGCGTTACATTTGCATCAATCTTCATGAGAGTTTATTTCTCTTATCATCTATGCATTATCATGCATTTCATTCATTTTAACCTGGAGACTCATTGTGCATCTTGTGATACTTCTTAGATAAACTGCAAATTTTTTTCTATTATCTGTGCATTATCAAACAGTGAGGGAAACATTAACCATTTTTGAGAGATAATCATTGAGAACATGATTCTAATGAAAATTGATTGTTAATATAGACTTATTTTGAAATTTTACTTTGGGAAAACAAATTTTTCATTCTCACGCTATGGTTTGATGATATTATAATGTTTATTATGAAATTGCATTGTAAAAAAATTAATGTAATAAAATAACGTTTTTTTAAAGTTACCGATCAAGTTGTCTTACTTCTTTTGAAACATGCATTTTGAACTTCTTCTAAACAATTTGAATGGATTTTATTTTGAGGACAAACAAAAATACAATTTAGAAATAGTTGATAAGTGCCAAAAATACGTTAAATATGAAAGCACTTATAAACTTAGTTTACAAATAATCAAATGAAAAACCCTTATTTGATCAAAGAAAAGTGATAAAATACATGTTTGGATATTTTAACTATGTATTGATTAAAAACAGGTAAAAAGGATTAAGAAATCACCAAAGAAATACAAGAGACCAAGCCAAGTTACTTTCCTAACAAATGAAGGTTCGTTAAGCCAACATAGGTGCGCTTACAGAGCAGAGGTGAAACCTCGCTAAGCCAAGAAACACTTGCATGGTTAGCAAGCAAAGGTGGTTCATGGTAAATGATAAGGTCGGGGATAAACAAGCATGGTCGGTGCACTTAGTGAGAATAGGAAGCAAGGCTAGTTGTAAGTTAGTTGGCATTACATAACCTATAGGAAAGTAGGCATACTAAGAGATCCTGGGCGGTGTGCTTGGTGAGCCTACCATTTCAAAACCTATTGATATGAGTGTCTAGTAGTTCATTTAAAGAGATCGGTGGATCCGATGTAGTTCCTGATAGAAATTAGGTTCTCACCATAAATCATAACAGGAGAGAATATGAGAGGAAGACTGAAGGCAGAAGCACTGTCAAAGGAAGGAGAAGCATTGTCAGAGGAATCTTCAAAGGGTTATTTATAAAGCTACAATGAGTAAGCATAACTAATTTTTTTCGAGGTTAGATCTAGTTGTCCTAGTATTTATATTTTGATCTCGACCACAATATTCTTTGTAATTCTTCTTAAATTTTAATATTGATTAATTCTTCGTTCTTAATGCTTGTTTTGACTAGCTACCTAAAACATGTTTTCATGGTATGACTTGATATTCAAGAAGTATTAGTCATTACTAGATTCAAGTTTGTCATCTACTGGATGCTAAAGTCTAGACATAGATTTAAGTTTAATATTAACATTTATTGCCGAAACTTAATCCTGACATATTGGTTAATAGAATGAGAAGTCATCTATTAGGTATAGTATGAATGACGACACAACGTTGATTGATACACGAGCTACAATGAAAGCTTCAGGTGATAATATTAATAATTGTTTAGAACTGCATATTACTGATCAAGGATGTTACATGAGAATAAGTCAACAAAATCTAACCCCCAACAAAGTTTTCTCAGTTGAAATATCAAAAGGTTAAATTTATTTACTGATATTTTACATTTTAAGTATTCACCAAACAACCAACATTTTGATAAACCAAACTTAAAGTAATATAAACCACTGAACACTCTTTGAAACACAACCAACCCATGTGGAGATGATAATTAAAACTTGCTTTTGAGCTACAACAAAAAGTTTGCTCTTTGATAATTGATACCGGTAGTTTTACAAATGTGGCTAATGTAACGCCCCAAACTGCCTTCAGGATTATCGACTGACCCCACAAACCAACACGGGTCTTTTCAGCATGCTTTGTCCCCACTTACACGCTTTTTGGGAAACTTCCTAGAAGGTCACCCATCCCAATACTACTCCAAGTCAAGCACGCTTAACTATAGTGTTATTTTGGTTAGGCTACCGAAAAGAAGATACATCTTGTTGATATAGGTAGTACCAATCAATTCTTATAAGCCTTTCTTTAACCATGCAGTCTCTTCCCTACTCAACCTCAAGGTTTCTCTCATTCCAATATGGAGACCACTCATTGCCCTCTCCAACCTCGAGTGTTACATGCGGTGTAACCATCCTCCTCCCTCTTCGGCCTCATGTGTTACATATCCTCAAGCTTCCGCTTGGTTCGTCTCCGAACCACATCGTACTGAGAGATGTCTGGCTCTGATACCAATTGTAACGCCTCAGACTACCTTCAGGATTATCGAGTGATCACACAAACCAACACATATCTTTTCAGCGTGCTTTGTCCTTAATCGCACGCTTTATGTGAAACTTCCCAGAAGGCCACCCATCACAATACTACTCCAAGTCAAGCACGCTTAACTATGAATTTATTTTGGTTAAGCTACCGAAAAGAAGATGTGTCTTGTTAGTATAGGTAGTATCAACCAGTCTCTATAAGCCTTCCTTTAATCATGCAGTCTCTTTCCTGCACAACCTCAAAGTCCCTCTCATTCCAATATGGCGACCACTCTTCGCCCTCTTCGGCCTCGAGTGTTACATGCAGTGTAACCACCCTTCACCTCTTTGGTATCAGGTGTTACAACTAACACGAGATTAATCACCAAAATTGGATTGAAATCCACTAGACACCCACAACCATATAAGCTTCAATAGATCAATGTAAATATTGATATTTTTATTGATAAACAAGTCTTGATTAATTTAAGTATAGAAAAATATTATGAATGAAATTTTGTGTGATGTTGTGCATATGAAGGTCGACCATATCTTGTTAGGCAAGTATTATCAATATAATAAAAATGTTTTTTAATATGCAACTTGTGGCCCCATGATTCGCGATCAAGAATTAAATAAACACCAAATATGCCATCAACGGTCTAGATCCCACTTTGATTCCGTAACAACACTGAAGCACTCTAAGTGCATTATCTTTTATCATATAAGCATAAGGCAACGTGAAATACTCACGATACTAAACACTATAGTTACAAGACAAACACTTAATGTGTGTGTTCACAAGATCATCTATATTCCCTCAATACACCATACGTCTCTTCCTCATCTCGAAGGACCGACTTAAGGACTTGAAACAATGAAGAAGATAATTCAAGAGGTCATACTCAAAACTTCTGCCTTATTCCCTGCCCAGTAAGAAGGACTTGGGGAAACAATTTCAGGCCAACCAAACGACCCAATAAGACTGATCTAATTCAAAAGGACCAATCCAAAATACCCTCATTATGGGGCCACACACTAGAGCCGAATAACTCACTCATTAATTGTCAAATCCAATCCAACGATCACCCGCATTCCATTACGCACTCACCGAGAGCTGTTTTAACTGTCGTTCATATATAAGCGTAATTACACACCATTACCAAGTATGATATCACTCATTCTTGTAAGTCATATCACACTATTATAACTTCACTGACTTAACTGTTGAAGTGTTAACCTTACATTACAAATACACTTCCTTCTTTGCTTGCCGAAGACTCTCGCCACCATACCAAAAAACTTCCTCAACATATCATATAATTTCTTATTTCACATCATACTAATGTTTAATACACCTTAATTATTACAAATAACGAAATAGTTGAGTTTTACAATGAAGTAGTTTTTTTGACGGGTTCATAATAAAGTAGTTTTTTCTACACAAACATTATGGATTTACAATGAAGTAGTTGAATATATGAAAATACAACAAATAAACTATATTAATAAAAATTAATATTTTTTTTGTAAACTAATACAAGATAAATAATTATTATAAACAAAATATATTTTTAGGATTAATATCGAGATATCATGGGTTTATTTGTTCAAAAGTTGGATCAGAGTCGATGGAGGTTCAACCAAATTAATTAAATATAAGTATATTATTATTATAAAAATAATTATACACAAAAAATAATATAATATTTATTCATAAATATTTTTTTTAAAGGTAATATGTATTAATTATATTTATATTTAATTTAATTTATTATAATCCATTTAGATTTTTATAATTTTACATATAGCTATTTCAAAAAACTTTAAGCTTTGTAATAAACAAACAAATTAATTAAAACAACAACCCAATAAAAATGCACACAACTTATTAAAACACGACAAAAATAAAAACAAAGTCAAGTACTATTTAGATTTTTTCCGGTTTTCAGCTTCTTTCCCGGTTCCTTTTCATGACGGTTTTTTAGACATACTAAACCGGACACAAGTCTGGTTCCAGGTTCAACCGGTTGAACCGGACGGTCCGGTTTTCGTTTCATTGCTTATATATATATATATATATATATATATATATATATATATATATATATATATATATATATATATATATATATATATATATATATAGGAAATGTGAAATTTGTGGCGGGTTGTTTTTGGCGCGCAAAACATCACATCCACATTTTTAGGGTTTACACTCAGATTCAGTGGGTTCTTCCACAGTTATCATTGCAATCTTCTATCCCCTTTCTTCTGCAACTCAGGTATATCGGACAATCTTGCTGTTTTTTCGTTTTGATTTTGCCTCTTATTCCTTGTAATTTCGATTTGCTTCATGATTCACCTTGTATTAGTTTTGCTCGATTTGCTTCGATTTGTGTTCCGATGTTGTGATTTATGCTTGTTGTTCACGTGTAGGTCATCACTTCACTCTCTCTTGGATCATTTCCCAAATCGTATTCAGTTTTCATACCAATGAATCCTCAACAAGAATCGGATTTTGATTCTGGTGCTCTCAAACCTTATTACGGTTAGTTACATCCATTTCCCATTTTTTTTATTGCCTGTGTGAATAGTTAGTTTACTTTCTATTGGGTTTTAACTTTTAATTACTTACTCATTTTGTCTACTTTTTTTTACCAGGAAAACTGTTTCCTTTTGCTGATATGTTTAAATGGATGTCTTATGGCCATGGTAGCATCTATGAAACTCTTACTTTTGATTAGAATGTTAATTGAGTATGCATTCTGATTTTTTTGGTGGGTGTAAAATTTTTTAGACGGTAAACATCCTGGCTGTGATCAGTCATACTTTGGAAGAAGGGAATTTTCCTTCACTCTGAAAGGGGATTTTTATCTGCGCTTCCAATCATACAACAACGTCCTCGAACTCGAAAACTCCATCAAAGATAAATGCCCTTTAAAGATTGACATTGGACCTGTCTACACAGTCGATGTAACAATTCTCCTCTCTCCCTGTAATTCATGTTGCATTTACTAAGTAGTAGTAGTAGTAGTGGGGGCGGTGCTTCAGCCTAATCATTTTTTATGTGGTTCAGCCTGCAAAAAGACATGCCTATGCACAGAGTGATAATAGTGTCTTCACTCCAGTTGAGAGGGAGTTGATTTTTGATATAGTAAGTTTTTCTGACTTGAGTCTCCTACTGAAACCTTTAGATACTTTGTTTATTTTTTGACATTTGTTATCCTCTTTTTTTTCTTCTTCATGGTGGGCTCTAGGATATGACAGATTATGATGATATTAGATACTGCTGCAAGGGTGCTGATGTTTGCTTGGATTGCTGGCCATTGATGACCGTAGCCATCAAAGTGATTGATACTTCCTTAAGAGGTAGTGATTTCTATTTTATATGATGAGGATAGATGGTGCAATGCCTGCCATTTATAATGGTACAAGTTGCACTTCGCGCATTGTTATAGTCATGTACCAACTTATTGACATGCGACGTCAGGCAAAGGGGCATAGTGAAGTCTTCATCGTGCATCTCCTTATTATGTCAATACCAAAGGCTATGACAGGAAGTTGCCCAAAAAACTTCCCAATCATCACTACTGTTCCAGCCTAGATTGTTGTTCGTGTTAATATTAATCTAATGCTTTATGTCGCCTGTGAAGAAAATTGATCTCATGCTAGTATGCACTACAGATAACCAAAGAGGCATTACTAGGGGACAATTTCAAAGACCATGGATTGTATCTTCTTCCACATCACCACAAAACTTGCACATTAGATCCCAAGTCCCATACAGTTCTTTTTCCGATTCTTTAACAAACTATCGTAGTTTAATAACCAAAAAAAACATTGTATTCGTTCGGTGGCTTGGATTCTCCAAATATTATTCCCACTTTCATCACCTTGCAGCATCTCATTATCAGAAAGAAACTCGCAAGTGTTCCCTAATGCAAAAATTACTGCTATCATATCCAATGGCTATACGCACATCAGAACCTGCATCCATGCATGGAGGGAAAATCCTCGCAATTTTATTTAAAATGTCCTTCGGGAGCCATTGGTTTAAGAGATTCCAGTTCCACTCTTCTCCCTCATTCAAGAGATCTGCAACCTTGGCCTCCTTTAGTTGTATTGTATTGGAATTTCCAGGTATAAATATGCAATTTTAGTACTAGGATCAATCTATCTAGCAGTCCAAGCATCTACATTAGCGCCATTACCTACTGACCAGAAACAACTCTCATCAATTTTGGACCAAATATTGACAATATTTTTCCAAAAGCTTGAGTCTGTAGGCCTCATGCTTATCTTCATTCTGTTGTTATTTCAACAATATTTTCCCTACAAAACCGCACTCCACAAATCATTGTTCCCAGTCTGCAGTTTCCACCCAAATTTTAAAACACAGGCTTTGTTCATTACATCTAGGTTTCTAAAACCTAGTCCACCTAATAATTTTGAAATTGTTTGTATGAAGTGGCGGAATTGAGTTCTCATCTGTTGGCATTGCATTTTAACTCTCAGTACATTTGTTTTTGCCCCATTTCTGATCTTTCATCATTCTTTATACTTTTATGCCAAGGATTTAGAATTATATATCCTTCATTCTTTTTTTAATCTTCAGTATCAGTTTTTTTACTGAAACTAAGATGGTTAAAATACATGGGGAAGGAAGGATGTAGAGTATATTCAACTTGTCGTAAAATCATCAATACTAACTTATGATATTGAGCCTATATGTTCATTGATTTCATTATATGCCATATATAATACCACATATGAAATTAGTGTTATTTGACCATTAAGTAATTTAATCTTCTCTATCAAGTGTTACCGACTGTTGTGTTGATTTCTGCTTTGGAACTACTGTTTCAGATGAGTTTGGTTTTAAGCATATACTCTGGGTCTATAGTGGACGTAGAGGTGTTCATTGTTGGGTGTGTGATGGGAAGGCAAGAAGGTGAGACCCTAGACTGTCAGAAGTTCTAAATGTTTCCTTAACCTATATGTAGTACACATAGGCATCGTTTCAATTTATTAACTTTACTATTGCAGGTTGACAAATGAGCAAAGATCTGCTATTGCCGAATATTATCGTGTTTACAAGGTATACTTAGTAACAAGTAGTGGGTTTGTCTAGGACTAGGATTAGATGCAGTCAATAGTTGATGCAATCACAACAATGTCAACCACTGTATATATCTTTCACACACTTTCAATCCTTGATTGCTTTTTCCATAAAATTAGATAAAATACAAGTTAGAGATTGATAGATACACTTGACTACATACAATCAGAATCTGTCTGTCAATACTTGTATTACTTTTTGATGATTTCATGTTTTGTCCAGGGCAATGAAAATAGTCATAAGAAGGTTTCTTTGACTGGTGGTGCTCTTCATCCTTTCTTGGCGTAAGTCTTAAGATGAATGGCTAACTAGCTTTCTTTTTCCGTTCTGATACTTATTTCACATCCTAATTGGTGCTTTCTATTTCCAGGACATCATACACCAATGTCCTCAAGGACTATTTTGAGAAAAAACTGCTTACAAATCAAAACTTACTTGCTACCGAGGAGAGATATGAGAAGATCCTAAGCATGATTCCTGATGAATGTACATTATATTATTTTTGTTCTCCTGGTATGGTCCTTGTTAATTCATTTTACTGCTATTATCTTATGCCGTGCATGTTTGACCTTTGCAGCTATTGCTTCTGAACTTAGGGGAAGATGGCAAGATAATAGACGGTCCACTAGTGCAAAAGAAGATATTAATGTTGTGCGATGGGAACAGTGCAAGCAGTTGCTGCAATCTGGAAAACATAAGGTATAAATATTTCCTTTTGGGAAAGTTTAGAATAACTCAAGGTAACAAGGGCATCTTCTCTGCAATAGTCGTACAACTTAGTTGAAAAGAATTGAATAAGCCTATAAATTGAGCAATATTGGTTCTTAGTTTATCACAGCCCTAGGGTCAGTTTCTAATCTTACATTAATCTTAGATTATGTCTCAAGATTAATTTCTACATTACTTGTTTATTATTATAATCTGCATATTGATTTCCTTATTTATTTAAGCTGAGTAGTCTTGTTTCTCTATAAATAGGGTTAGAGTTTTGTCTTTTGATCAAGTTTGTCATCAATTATTTTACTCCATAATCACATTCCTTATTCTTTCATTTTATCTAAATCCTCATAATCTCAACATTATGGAAATTCTTGTTCTTACCTACAGACTACTCACCTGCTTATGCTATATAGAATGATTGCATATCCTGTTATTCATTGCAGGAAATCATACAGAATTTGCTGAAACAAGCATTGTCTTGAGTTTTTTTTATTGTTAATGTCTTCATAATCCTTTTTGTAGGCACAGGGGCTGCGAAGATGTGTTGAAGAAATTGTGTTCTCCTATACTTACCCCAGGCTAGATATGGAGGTCTTTCTATCTACTGATCCCATTTTGTTCATATCATCTAAATAATTTTTCATGCTATTAGGCTATTTTCATTTATATACATTCATATTTTCCCTAGAACATGTCTGCATATATGGAAGGCCAACATTTATTTGTAGTTTGAATTTGTGCCTTTAAACAAGACTACTTATCTTTCAGGTTTCAAAGCATATGAATCATTTGCTTAAAGCACCGTTTTGTGTTCATCCAAAAACAGGTTAGTATCAAAACGATGCACAGTTTTTATATCAAAACTTTATTGATGACATCATATACCACTATTTTCCGATTATGATTTTTAGAATAGAAAATAGAAATAATAAATCAATTTTCTTGTTACAAATTGTCAAATTGCCAGATAGGTTCATTAGCTAATTTGATTGTCTACAATAATTATTTGGTAATTCTATTTTGTTCTAGGTCGTGTCTGTGTCCCTATTGACCCAAATCGGTGTGATGAGTTTGATCCTACTACAGTACCCACCCTTTTCCAGGTAAACTTATCATGCAACAATAATTTTTATGATCTGCAATGACAGAGGGAAGCTTCCCTCTGGCTCAAACTATCCTTTCTCCTAAATATCACTTTGGGCATATACCTATAATGGGTTTAAGTTCCCATTTGGCCTGACTTTATCTAACGGTATTTTTTATTAGGTTACTGTTTACTAGACATTTTATGTTCATGTGAATCCTAATATATTGATTTGTAACATCTCAGATTCTAGAGGAGCTTAACAATGAAGGCTTGAGAGCTGATGTTAATGGCGGTATGTTAATTTTATACTTGAACAATCCTGTTTGGTTATTAAAATCATTACTTATTTTAATTTGAACACACCATTGATTGAAGGCTGTTGTCACTAACAACTAGGACAGAAGTTGAACAGCCTACTAGGGAGATTGCTTCTTTTGGAAGCACTGAAAATAGTTATTTGATATTTTCCCAATTTCTACTAGTATTGCATCTGTTTTCACTTTTCAAAAAAATACAAATTTAAAAATATTTGAATGTATTTTCTAATGGTTTTTAGTGGAATTTAAAAACAAAGTAAACTGGCCCAATAGATTTTCATTTTGCAAAACCTTTTCATTGCCATCTCCACACATCTTCTAATGCTAATTGCAACTTGTTTGGTAGCAGAATGGAGTGGAACTTCACTTGGAAATGCTGTTAGGCTTTTCAGATCTTCATTCTTGGAACCTTTGCAGAAAGCCTGCAAGGTATGGATCATTTTTAAGAAGTTTCTATATTAAACTCTGATAGATGAAAAACAACTTTATGCTCGAATGCTAGTTATTTTACTCTTTTGTTTCATCATGTTTATACATGCATATGTTCTTCCCACTATTTTTTTAGCATAAATAAAGTTCTTCCAAACATAATGTATGTTTGTATTCTTCATAATTTGATAATAGTATATGAATAAGGTTCAGGAGTATACATCTATCATAACTGCCATGGATATTGAATATTGCAGGAGGAGATAGAAAGATCCTATAATTTGAAGTTGCAGCAGTCAAAGAACTCCATAGGTTGGTAGTGCAATACGTCCTTGATTAGACATGTAGAGCTTGGGGTGAAGTGGGCATTTTCAGTTGTCTCAATTAAAAGGATATAATATTTATGCTAATTGTTTAATTTTAAAGAGGTCCTTTGCATCCTTTTGTATTTTTAAAAAACTTTCCACCTCTGATTTGTTTCTCGTTTAAGGCAGTCAATTTCAGTTTATTGTATATAATTTGGATGAAAAAAAGCTAGGTTCGCTTTATCTTCTCGGTCTCTATGCTTGCCAACGAAGGTTGAGTTGCTGTTTTATAAGCAATCAACACCTAGATTTGTACAAGGTCATGAACTGATTGAATATCTGCAATATATTATTCTACAGTGTCTAACGAATGATACTGACTCATCTTATCTCAAATGTAAGAAAAAGGTAGTAAAAATGTATTTATTATAAAATTTCACTGTGATCATCTCCATTTTTTAAGAGTAAATTATTGACTAAATAATCTAGAAAGAGATTTTATGAGGGCTATCCAATATGCATTGTGTGACGAGCCTTAAGTAAAAGTAGGGGCGTTCGTTGTGAAGGTGGACTCACGAATCCACCAACTTAAATTGAATCAACTTGCCAATTAAGTAGGCTTATTAATTGGTTTATTCGACTCAGTTTTGTAACAATTTATAGTTTTGGTTTAGGTATTGATTTTGAGTTTTTGAAATTGTAGAGCCGTCAATCTAATTTGTTTTATATGACATTTGTGAATTATAATAATAATAATAATAATAATAATAATTACTATTATTTTCATTTATTATTATTGTTTACATTTATTATTATTATTATTATTATTATTATTATTATTATTATTATTATTATTATTTACATTTACAAACTATTATTTTGTCATAATTTTTTGTTCACCACCAATCTTACAACATTATATTCCCTCCGTTACTTTTCACCTACAATATTATATTTCTTATGTTGTTTTTTAATCGTCATGTTTGTAAAAGTTTTATGTTTTTTTTTAATTGTCATTTTCAAATTTTAAAATAGTCTTAGTGATAATTTTGCTAAAATTATCTTTAATCATTTATTACAAAAAGAAAAAAAAGTAAGTTAAAATATTAAAAAATTAAAGATATTATAGATAAAATAAAAAATATTACTTAAAAAAAAATTATTAGTTTTATTGATATATGTAAAAAGTCAAAAAATGATAATTAAAATGTTCTCACCGTTCTTTTTGATAAATCGTACAATATTATACTCTTCGTTCCTTTTTAATTATGACTTTTGTGAAAATTTTATATTTATTTTTAATTGTCATTTTCAAATTTCAAAATTGTTTTAATAATAATTTTATCAAAATTATTTTTAATTATTTATTACAAAAGAATTATGTGTGTAGAGTGTAGACTAAAAATATATTTTTGATTTTTTAAAAGATATTTTCGAAATTATATAAAATCTTTTTCTCCTATATACCACCATGTCATAAGAAATTCTCTAAAAATTTCTTCTACAATCTTGGAATTCTTAACAATTCTCTAAAATTCAAAAATGTTTTTTTGAATAATAGATTTCAAACCTTTTTCAAATGCCACATAACTCACGAATCTTTTCTTTCCCTCTTCATTTATCCTTTCCTTTTAGATTTAGAATCCAAACACCCCGTACAATCTATGTTTCCGTTTCTCTTGTCCTCATTTTTAGGTCGACGATTTTTGGATTCTACAATTTTAAAATACCCCACTTTCGATGATTGTCGTGGGTAAATTATAGTTACCCATAGATAAATTGAATTCACTCATGATGAAGTTGGTAGTAATGTAAAAAATGTCATATAATGTTTCTACTTGACCCGAAGTGTGTCAATGTAGCATACTACACTCAACTCTTTTAATAGTAATTTTCAATTTTTGCAATAAAAAATATATATTTTTTGATCAATTCATACATATTAAGACAAATATTTAAGTAAATGAATTTCTTTTATTTTACTTAAATACCTTTATCATGTCTTGATTTATCCATATTGTAGAAGATACTATTGAATCAGAAATGATGCGGATAATATTAATTAAGTGATTTTACAATTAAAAAAAGTGTGTTGGAAAGTAAAAGAGATCAGCCATCTTTAGACATATTTTTTCCTTATAAATAATGTTAGTTATTTTGGGATGGGAGAACTATTATATTTAAAATGATTAATCATTTTTAGAATTTTGAATAATTGCCATGATTCTCTTGGAATCTATGGAATGGATCTGAATATTATAGATTAAATGATTGATTTTACACTAAGTTAGATCTATTTATATATCATTCAATTTTTAGTGAGGGAAGAGAGAATAAAAAAATAAAAATTGTATTATTAAACTAAATTGTTATAAATAATGATACAAACTATGATTATTTATACACACCTAAGTTATAAGTAGGCTAACAAATCTTAATTGAGATCGGGTTTAGATTACACAATTTGGATTAGGTATAATATCTCAATATATCTTTATAATCTAAGTTGTCAAACATATTATAAAAATATTCAATTTGAAGTATTTTTAATTTCTTTCTCAAATTCAAGAATTTGTTGATCTTTAATCCTTTGGTGAAAATGTCAGCCAACTGTTCTTCACTTGAGCAATACCTAACTTCAAGTTCATCCTAATTTATCCTTTCCCACAAGAAGTGAAATCTATTTTCAATATGCTTACTCCTTCCATGCAGAATTGGATTCTTTCCAAGATTAATGACTGACTTGTTGTCGATCTACAACACTAGATGTTTATTCACTTCGACCTCGATCTCTTCCAACACAGACTTGATCCAAATTGTTTGACATGCAACATAAGATCCTGCTATATATTCAGCCTCACACGATGAGAATGCCACCTCTGATACCAATTTGTTAGTGCGTGAGACACTTTTAGTGAGGGGAGAAAGAATAAAGAAATAAGGATTATATTATTGAGTTGAATTGTCACAAATAATGATACAAACTATTACTATTTATACACACCTAACTTATACACTAAGTAGAAAAATAAACTCTAATTAGGCTTGTGATTAAGTTACCAATTTAGATTAGATCTAATATCTCAAAAAAACTCACTGACACATCAATTAGTTAGTTATAGATTGTTAGATATGATGCAACCACATCTAACTTTATTATTGCCAATAGTCAGAAGAGCTTTAAGGGAAAATATGATGTCATTATAGATGATTAGAATAACTCAAATAAAGAAGAAACCAAAATCAAACGCCTAAATGTTAACCTCGTTGATTTATGGGCTTGACTCAACATAAACTTTGATGGTTCAACAAGTCATAGCAGAATATGAATAAATGAAGAGAATTTCTTATTTCACCATACGTTATTGAAAATAATCATATGAAAACCCAATTTCGCCCCCGTGTTTCTGGAAGTGTATTTTCGGAACGTATTTTTTTGTTGTTAAACTTCAGTTAATCTCAGAAATGCATTTACGAGAAGAAATAAAAAAAATGTATTTTCGAAATTTATGTAGACAGTAATAGAAAATAATTTTCATTATTTTAAATGTTAGAAACTACAAAATAAATATAGTACTATATGTATGACATGAACACAAAAGAAACAAATAACAATTCCCCATGCAAAATCAATGTCACATCTTCTCCAAATGAGGAATAAGGCGTACATTATTGAAAATAAAATGAAGGTCGGGTACAAACATTACGACCCCTTCCAACATAACTAACTTAATACATGAACTTGTCATAAAAATCTAATACTTGAAGGGAAGCCGATGTAAGAGAAGAAGTTCAAACACTTCTAATAAATGTCACATGGGAGATCACCAATAGTATACTAGAAGAGACGAAAGCAATATTGAAATTCTGGCTGTCAGATCTCGGATGTCCTAAGAGATGTCGAGACACTGAATCCGATTTCAACACGCAACAACAGGATATACATACAAAACAAATAGTACTGAAGGTAAATAACACACAAATATATTTACCCAGTTCGAAGCAACTCTTCTACTCTGAGGCTACCAAGCCAGGGACGAAATTAACTAGATAATATCAATTTATAGACCACACAATAAACATACTAGTTTACAATCTACACACTTAATCACTACCCTTTGCTTAACTTCTACATAAGACACACCTAGGTATGAGGCCCTTCTCAAATCCCTCTTCAATCACACTCAGTGATTGGAGCAACTTCAAACACACTAGAGAACAAAAACAGAAAGTCACTCTTCCAAGACACATAATCCTCAATGCTTAAAAGCTTATGAGAACTAACACATAAATACTTAATGTTTAAAAGCTTATGAGCATCTGACACACAAACATCCAATGCTTAAAAGCTCATGGATGCCCGACAAAACTTACAATCCAAAACAATCCTACTCTTCTATCAAGATGATATTAGAGATGCTCACAAATAAGGATTCTAAAACCCTAACAACAACACACGTAAGTTCTACCTAAAACTAGATATATACCAGTCAATATATAACATTATTCTGGACTGGGTTGGGCTTCAAAAACGCAGCAGTGAGGCTGCACAACGTCTACAAAATCTTCTCCAAGAAAATAGGTCTTCAATCATTAGTTTCCTAAAATATCTCCATATTTAGAAAATTTGCATATCTTTAAAAACCAACATAGAATCTCTGATTTGTCAATCTTGGATGCCACATAAGCTAACTGAATATTCTCTAAATATTCAGTAACTAACATATCAGTTGAAACACAACTGTCAGCTGCTGTAGACACGATGTTCTATCCTCCTGATTGGGACATCTTATTCGATATGTTGAAAACTGCAAGTTAGAACATCTTGTTCAATATGTTGCTGCCAGGTTGATTTAACCAAAATGCATGCCAATCATAATTTAAGAGAAATAACAAATATGATGCATGTGGATATATTCAATTAAGTACAATACTAATGAAAGTATATACATGTATAAAGTCCATTTGGTTTCTAAGGGGTTCACACAATCCTATGTGGTGGATCTTTGAGAGAT